TACGACGGTCGTATACACATGGGGTGGAAACTAAAAAAAAACTTCATCACACTGAGTTCACAGATACATTTACGAGACTGTAACCTACATGCAGCGTTTTACTGTGCCCATGGCGTGGCTGGCATAGTTTGCTGCAATAAAGTTCAAGGATAGTTGAGCCCCTTCAAAGGTTTGCATGGCGAAGCCCATTGCAGGAAATTAATATATTGCCTTACGTGAGCATTTTCTTTTTGGGGTTGATAAAACAAGTAGATCTTTGTTCTGTGGATGGACTTGTACCTGCCATATGAATGTAGAATGCTCACAACTTAAGTCTAGTAAAGTGCCCTGCCCAAGCCCACTTGGATTTTTCTTAACAGTTTTAACTGTATCATTAAACTAAACAAATGTTTTTATTTATATAATTAACCTGCATATATTGTCTAACTCGTCTGTATATACCTCACCCCGATGGCAGTGATGAGCGCTGCCCCAATTAGCATTTGAGAAGGTATACCCTTTAAAAATTATTGTAAAAAAATGTAATAATTTATATCGGTACATTTATTTTTAATTTATTTACTTATTTCAACGACTTGTATATCATGAGGAAACCATCCACAGGAAAACATCAGGTAGTGCAGAGACCAATTGTTCACTGAAGAAAACATGCTAACTTACAAACTGTCTTAAATATCACATTGGTTAACCCCGTATATATTTCTCCTTTCTTTCTTTCTGGTTCAAATACATATTTATTTTAATATTCACTCACTCCTTTAGGAGTAGACACTTTCACACATGCACAGACGCAACAAATATCTTAGAAGCTTAAATATATATTAATATAGTGGTATTGATCATGAAACAGTCTTTACAAAATGCAATAGTAACCGTATAGCTCATAGGACATGGCACTGTTAGTGAGGACATACTGGGCCGACATGAAACATAACAGACCAGTGTGGTGAACTACGCAGTGAGCGCGTTTGCACATCACACACCAGGTAAGCATTAATGGCTAAGTCAACCTAGTGGAGGCCCAAACACGGGTTCAGATACCACTTTTCACTGATGGCGAACCCTGTCTGGGAAGTAAATCCATGTCGTTGAAATTGTAGTGCCGTCCACAAAAAAAATAAAACCCTGAGCCAAGTGGGTTGTCTCCGAGTTCTTTAAAGTGATAGTTTTTTTTTTCTGCAGACACGAGACACCTAAGCGGCAAAGGGAAATCCCTCGCCAGCGGAGGAAAAAAAAAACATAATCGTGGGTTGAGAAACGCAAGAGCGCTCAGCGAAACGATCACTTCACAACCACGCTCTTGCATTTCGGAATTTCAAAGATTGCCATCGTCCACCTCGCTTGAAACCCACGCAGCCCCTTAATCAATAGTACTACGAATAATAACGACTCATGAAAGACCATGTCATCAAGCCTTACTGCAGGTCAAAGCACACGGCCGTGTTTTGAATGTGCAAAACCATAGCAATGACAGCTCTGCCAGTTATTATAATCCCTCACTTTTCATCAACGTTTCCCAGATGGCGCCCTTATAGTTTTTTTTTTCTACCTTCATATATGGAATACACATACACGCCGGTACATCCACTGCATGCATACAAAGAGGTCTGTTGCTGGCAGCGGCGTTAAATAAGCGTGGAGAATTGGCCTTTAGTGTTGGGCTGGGACCAGTAAGCCCCTCGATTGATGCAGATTACGAAAAAAAATATATAGAATAAGTTCTCTGGCTGCATCCGTCGGTGTAGGATTCTATGTTACACCCACACAGTCGCTCGAACCGTACCCCGTAGGATTATATATTTAAAAAAAATGCTCTACTGTAATCTACATTGCAATGTACTTGAGGTGTCCATCTGCGAGTAAGGCTGTGGGCCACAGTAGACGAGTGACTTTCGTCGTACAGCATTGAGTAAGGGCTCATTCTGATGGGAGAGAACCGGAGTCTTGTGGTGTTAATGATGAGCTAACCGTGCGATGAAGATTTTTTTGTATTCTTGGGAACAGTTCACATGTAATACGTGTGATCTGAAGCTGACCTGGATCTCCCCTAGGGTGACTTGGCCTCAAATTATAATCTAGTGCGGTGCATGAGCATGACCACTCGGGAGATCGAGTTGTGGATAGACATGCTGCTCACTACGTCAACTCCTACAGTATTTATTTCCGCAGATGTACCAGCAAAATGTTGCCATGATAACTCTCATTACGATGGTCAGAAATGTAAAGTAAGAAGCAATGGCACACGCGTATTTATTTCAGGCCGTTGAAGGCCGAGACTCTTGGATTGTGATGTCGTAAGCAGTTCGGCGTGTACAGGGCGGTCCAGATGTGTTGTGACCCGCATTCAATCCTCAAAAGCTTAATGTTTTTTTTTAGGTAAGGTTATTTGAAACAGAAACGAATATGCAAAGGAAAAAATGGCAGGGGTCAAATTAATTGACGGCGACAATACATCTGGGCCACCTTGTACAATTCTAACCCTGCAAATATTGTTAGAATAACTGTTGTCTTTGCTGTAGGGCACGAATTTGAAGCGCATCGTCCACATCAAAGGTTCTGAGCAAACTGATAATCTCCCACTTGTAACCGATCCCCTGTGTAACTGGGGATGTGACATTCCTTCTCGGCCAGTCCACAGTCCAGATGCGAGCTCAGTTGAGCATGGCCTGGTTCCAGGGTCTCATGGTATTGATGATGAGTTAACCTCATCAGGGGCGCCACGGTGGCAAGATGTTAACTACCTCGCCTGGTATCCAGAAGGTCGTGGGTTCGATCCTGACCCTGACGCCTGTATATTCGGAGTTTGCACGTCTCTCTCCCCATGTTCGCGTGGATTTTTCTCTGGGTCCTCCGGTTTTTTCCCTCCACATTTTTAGAAACATCCGTTTAGAGGATTCGGCTGCTACAAATGTCCACGTTATAAGCCACTTCGTTGAGCTATCATTCGTTGACAGGTCGATTCTGAAAAAAGAGCTGTGTAGCTCAGCGGGCCTTATCTGGTTTAATAAAAAAAAATCGTTAACCTTGTGATCAAGTTTTTATTCTCAGTCACAGATCACATGTGATACATGGTATCTGAGGCTGACCTGTGTCTCCTCTAGGGTGACTTGGCCTCAAATTATAATCCAGTTTAGGTATCGGCAAATGCATCACACGCTGTTTAACTGCACTTGTACAGCCATGAGTGCTTGATAATGAAAGTACACCTGTAAAATGGAACTGTGATTATTCGGAAACTAACAGGGATTAAATCAGATAACACTGTGAAACTATTTAGGCCGTGTCTGTGTGGGTATCGTAAACAAACATGTTATCACCAAATAGACGTGTCACCTGTTGTCAAACACACACTCTACATTGCCAGCGCAACAGTATCTGCTCACACTTGTATTGTGTTGTCAGGTTTGGTGCATTGGGCTGTTGTATCGGCACACACAATGGGTGCCACGGGATCTTGAACATCCACATTTCAGCAGATGGCAAATTTCAGCACCCTGGTAACAATAAACATTCAGTGCAATTATGTAGGCTGTCGCGATGTGGGTTGAAGACCACGTTTGATTATTACTTTCCATGCAAGGCATCCACGAACCAATTAGACATAGCACAGAGACTACATTTGAAATAATTGCATCTGATCTCATTGTATGTGTGTATGACAACCATAAGAATCAATTTGAATTGGTGAATAAGCAAAAGAACACATGTTGGTTATGAAGCATGTAATAATTCAACATCCCCTTATGCCTGAACAGCTGAGAGCCTGAACCAGTCTCTCACCTGGATGAGGCTTTTACCCGTCCATGCTCATATTCATTCCATCTCTCACATGTTCAGCCTTTCACCTTATCAGCCTCTCACCTGGTTCAGCCTCTCACTTGGTTCATGTTCTCACCTGTCCAGGCGCTCACTTTCTCAGCCTCCGAGTTCTCGTTCGAACAATGAGTCTAATTCATGAAATATACGCACGCATATGAATTGTGTTCAATCTTATTATAATCAGCACAATCCGCTGCCAACACTCACGCTCCCATAATTCCTTATAAATATAAAGAAAAACACTTATTGTGTTTTTTGATATTGAGGCTCTACATTTTAGTCAAGGCTAGCGCAGCACACCGCTCCGGATGCATTCTAATGAATTACTGTAACATTCTAATTAGTGTTATTGTTATTGACGGATAGCATGTCAGCACCCCTTCTCCATTGACAAGCTGGCTAAGCTGCTGGCTGGCTCGCTGACATGTGCAGTGAGCATGTGCGCTCAGTTGGCCCTCTGGATCGCTGCCAGCGCCTCCCACAGGCAGCTGACCTGTGGGTGAAAAGTTATAGCCTCTTCCATTACGAAAAAAAAAATCCCTATACGATTTCAACAACATCCACGGGGCCTTATAGGAATTTCACGTGTCTTCTGGAGCCTGGTCCGGCCCATCCACGGTAGTTACAGAGGGAGTTTGTTTTGAGTCTAATGTGCCCGTAAACATATGACTGGTTTAGTGAGATAAAAACAGTTTTATGCCCAATGATGGAAAAGAAAAGACTTCACATTTTAGCCTCATTTTTAAATAATCGTTTGTTTTACATGAACTACTGTTTATTAACACAGACACTCTCTAGAGTATGAAATGCTCCTGAAAATAAGACATTTTAAATACGGAGGGGTCTTATAATCCAGAGAATACGATATCAGTGATACAACGACATTTCCCATGAGTGTTCTCTGACGTACGACCCTACTCGCTTGGTTTACCATGGGTAGAGTATAGGTAGAGTATAGGAAATGCATGGCATTGCTCCATCGCTGTCGCAGAGTCCGCTCGCACACTTCACCAAAAAAAAACACGTGACTTTCTTTGTCTTTGACTTGATGTGTCTCGCCGACCTCACGCTCGGTCTTAACCCAACGTCCGCGCGACGTTCCCCTGCACGCCTCGCGCTCTGCACATTCCCACGTTGTGGCCAGGTGTTGGGGGCTGAATGTTGTGTCTTGTCTCCTGCAGTAAACATCCTCGACTCGAAGACCGCGCAGGAGGAGCTTGGCTGGATTGCCTCGCCGCCTGAAGGGGTAAGAAAAAAAAAGGACCACCTATGGATATTGGTACTGTATGAGTGCAGGCTTTTTTTTGTTCGGCTCAAATGTTATTTCTTCTGCCTGTGTGAGCGTGCGCGTTTGTGTGCGGGGAGCGGCGCCGCGGCGGTTATTGCTACGCTGCGCTCCGAACCCAGCGGCGAGCCGAGTTTCATTCCTGCTCACGGCCACCAACACCAGCGGCGGATTATCTGAACCGGTCCTGAGCCTCACCTAGGTCGACTCTGCATGGAATGAGTACCTGGTGTGGTGTAATCATCGCCACTAGGGAGACAAAGGCGGCCGGGCGTGGTGCTGGCCACCGACCGCCTCGTGCGCCGTACTGGCCTTCGTAGGTGCTGGCTAAGAGGACAGTCTGTTAAGGTCATACGGGGGATCCTTGTCATTGTTTTTGTGTGTGCGTCGTTGTTGTATTGAGTGGTGGGTGCAGTGGTTATTGCGCCGCGCTACAAACACAGCGACTTGATTTTGATTCATAGCCAAGGCGAATATAAATCTAAATCAATTGAACTCGTCCTGGGCATTAACCTCGGTCAACTCAGGCTTAAATAAGTACCTGGTGCTGTATGTAAATATCTGAAATGGGGAGATAAAGGCGGCCGGGTGTGGACCTGGCCACACCACCTTCTCGTGCGACACCCCGGCCTTCATAGGTGCTCATCAACAGCACTTACTCCAACATCATGTTTAAGCTATATGGGGGTTAGTGGTGGTGTAGTGCTTATCACAACTTGGGATTGATTCCCGGCCATGTGCACCGGTTTTGGAACGTTAACTGGCCCACCACGAGGTCAACTTAGTCCTACTAAGAGTACTTGGAATCGTGTTAAAACGCATTCACGACAAAGACAAAGTTCCACGCCCTCATACAACATGCCAGCGATCACCAGGAGATCCCCTGATTTTCAGCCAAACATTCAAATAATGTTAAATGTGTTGCGACTAATAATTAAGTGTCGGAACAATTGTGATCGTTGCCCAAAAAGCTAAGCAGCGTTGAGCCTGGTCGGTAGTTGGATGAGTGACCACCAGGTACCACCACCAGGTGTTGTTGGCATGGGGATGCCAGGGGTGGTCAGGAGATGGCGGTGCTGAGTGGCATCACCTCGTAACTGTGGGTTTTCTCCGGGCACTCCGGTTTTCGGTCACAAACAACACTCACTTCGGCAGGACTGTGGTGCCAAACCATATCCGAGGAGGATCCTGTGAGCCTTTTTTTCCGGAAAGAATTAACATTATTGGTATAATAGTTTTTTTTTTTACTTTTTACAGAAGACATAATACAGGGTGAGTTTGTATTGCACTGTTAATTTCCCATCCCTATAACGAAACGTAATCAATCGCCCTTGATATGTAAATATATAGAACACATGTTCGTATGCAAAAACGAAACCAAATAGCGCTTCCATTTGCAATTTATGCTAATACAGGGATTCCTCTACTTACGAACACTCGACATACGAACTTTCAGAGATACGAACAAACGTGTCCATATGTCCAGTTGCCTGTTCAGACCGAGATTCAGAAGTCCAACCGCCGCGCAATAGATGTCGGTGATGGCATCTACTTCTCTAGAAAATGAAGAAACGGTGTCATCTACGTCTACAGGAGATTACGCAACTTTTAAATCAATTTCCCCGTGTTTAGTTAAAATGCCGGTACAACATGTTTGGAATGGACAGGAGTAAAGTTGGACTTACAAACAAATCGACTTCGTTCGTAAGTAAAGGAGTCCATGTACATGCATTTCACATTGAGCCGCCAATCCGCAAGGCAATTTGAATGGCGCCAATTCGCGGTTTAAATTTGATGACATAGCAAAGCGCTTTTAGAGTTGAAAGTTGCACACGTGTAGCCCACACAGACATCAGGGTGAAGTTATATTTTTCAAACTGGTTGAGTTTTAAACCCACAACATTGTAAGAGCATTTGTGATGTTTTAATTAGAGCCGAGTTTGGCAATGAAGCCTGCCTAAAAAAATGCAATTACACGATGGTAACGTTCGTCTTGGCCGTAACAGAATGCATTATTTGTGGCCAAAATGGGCTGCTGTCCTTTTAAATGTGGGCACATCTCCATGTGCTTTTAATTTACATCAATTGACTGTTCAATTATCATTTTTATTATTTCCACTTGGACAAATACATATAGAGCTGGGTTGAACCGCATAGAAATGGAACACAACTTAGGGCAGCCGTCAGCCTATCAACTTAACGTCTCATTGATCTTCCAACCCACGAAACAATCTCCATTCTGTGTTTCCCTGAATGTGATCTACTGTGCAGTTGTAGCCTGGGCGTGTACATTATTTTTGTATGGCAGGCCGGCAATCTGTGTGAGAAACACGTATGGAAGTAACTGTTTCTCCCATGTCCTTGGGCAGCAGTGAATCTCATAGGTTCCAAAAGGTGGAGGTCAGTCAACCCCGCATTCTAAATTGGTACTCGCGTCACCAAAAATGGTCTCTAATCTACGGTCTCGTTTGTACGTACTCATGTTGAGCTTATTTCGTACCTTCCGTAGCTAACCATGCTAATCGGAGGTGTGATGAAGGACAACATTAAATCCGTGCAATAATGACCATGAAATAATAGATCGATTGATGAATCTATATATTTTGTTGTGTGGCGACTAAATTACATGATGCTGAGGTATCCAATTGTGAATCTTATATAAAGTACTGTACATAGAGGCCAAAGATTGAATTAAAAGTCAGAGTGCCATAATGCTCAATTGAGCATTTGGAGGTGCTCATCTCATTTACCTTTCTTCGCCATTGGTGGAAATTGCACATTCCTATGGCGGGGGCCAGGATTCCATAGAACAACCGCTGTTGATTCCTCACAAAGTGATGCTCGCAATGTGAACCCTGGAGAGACAAGGAGCTGAATCGACCCGATAATCTGACCCGCTCCGACTGGACACTTGTGCAAAAAAATCTTCATAGCTCATCAGTTTCCCCCAGCTCTGAATAACGATTCTGATTCTGATCATGAGACTTTAAACTCCCGATCTTCCCATTTCACTCACAAAAATATCGCCACTCCCCCGCTCCACCCACCACCCTTCTCTGTCGCCCCACCCCTACAAACACAGTGGGAAGAAATAAGCGGGTACGACGAGTTCTACACGCCCATTCGGACGTACCAAGTCTGCCACGTGATGAAGCCCAACCAGAACAACTGGCTGCGGACTAACTGGATCACGCGCGGGGGCGCCCAGCGCGTCTTCCTCGAGCTCAAGTTCACGCTGCGCGACTGCAACAGCATCCCGGGCATCCCGGGCACGTGCAAGGAGACCTTCAACGTCTACTACCACGAGTCGGACAGCGAGCGCGTGTCCGGCATCCACGAGAGCCAGTACGTGAAGGTGGACACCATCGCGGCCGACGAGAGCTTCACCGAGATCGACCTGGGCGGCCGCATCATGAAGCTGAACACGGAGGTGCGCGACGTGGGCCCCCTCGCCAAGAAGGGCTTCCACCTGGCCTTCCAGGACGTGGGTGCGTGCATCGCGCTCGTCTCCGTGCGGGTCTACTACAAGCGCTGCCCACGCACCGTGCGCGGCCTGGCCGTCTTCCCCGACACGGTGACGGGCGCCGACTCGTCCTCGCTCATCGAGGTGCGCGGCGCTTGCGTCGACAACTCGGCCGAGAAGGAGGCGCCGCGCATGTTCTGCAGCGTCGACGGCGAGTGGCTCGTGCCCATCGGGAGGTGCGTCTGCGGCCCCGGCTACGAGCAGGCGGAGGACGGGTGCCAAGGTGAGAGAGGGCACACGTGGACACGTTGGGGGTTGGGGGGGGGGGGGGTGGGTGTTGGGCACGCGACGCATGGTCCGGCGGGCGGTCCGGTGGTAAGCCAGCGGATTTGTCTCGCTGCACGGTGTACGCATGTGAATGTGCATGTGTGTGCGAGTCGTTACCCGAAAGCCAGTTTCACGAAACGAGGTGGGATAAGTAGCAGTTGTGCTGCACAGTGCGTGACGTTTGTGTGTGTGTGTGTGTGTTGAACGTCGTTCGCGCCGCACGTTGACAACCGTTGCCTGTCGGTTCGAAAGGAATGAGTGTTCAACCCACGCTGAAAGGCGCATGGCTCCAGTGGATTCCTGACATCGGCAGGAAGAGCGATGGAGACGGCCACAGAAGCGCACCTGAAAGCGCGCGATGCGATCGCGGTCTTTGTTCGATGGCTCGGTGCTTGGCCACGGCCAGGGGTTGGCAGCCTGCGGATCCGCAGCCACGTGCAGCTCTTCAAGAACTTGTTCCCTGACGTTATCTATTCAGGACCACCTATTCACATGCATTGCCGCTCTTGAAATATTTAGTTTGTTTTTTTTTTTTACTGAAAAAAGGGGCTCTTTTTTGTTATGTTGGTTGCCGCATCATGTCAATGGTGCGTAAGAGCTGTTCTGCTCCGAAGGCGTCACGCGTCTCGCAAACGTTGGCAAGACAATTTGTCAGTTAAGCTCAAAAATAATGATGTTGTTACTGTAGGTGAAGCAGTAATGATGTGCAGCTCACTGGCAATCCACTGCAAGACGAAGGCTCACGCCGCGTTTTTGTTCGCAGGGGTTTGCTTGAAAGTACTTCACCAGGTTGGCTCAGTGCGGGTTGGTAATGGGGCACTGAAGGTACATTCAGATATCGCTAGCCCTGAATCAAAGTCGAGGTGGACGTGTTTATGGTGCAGTGCATTCACCACGAGACCAGTGTTTTTCATTGCAAGGCCACTGGCGGCCCCCGGTAGCCCCTGGTGGCCATTAGTGTGGCCCCTGACGTGCACTCCCCCCCCCCCCCCAACAATACACGTGACAACACCCCTCCTCGCAGGCGGTGTGGCAGCCCTAGCACTGCACCCTGGGGGAGTTGAAGTTGGGCAGAGTATGTGTCAGTGCCTTTCCACTCTGTGAAAACTTTTTTTTATTATGATATATGTAATGACAAGACACGGCCAAACAGGAGTTCGTCTCTGGTGTAGGCCAATCATGTTCAAGGACAATGTGTGCATTGTCAAAGCGTGCTTGTTTAAATGTTTTAACCGCGAGCACGCGTGGTTAATGCAGACTTGATGCCTTGCAATAGATGTGTCTACGTGGCCTTTGGACATCTTAACACCTCCCGTATTACTCTTTGGTTCTTTCGGTAAAGTCGTGTAGAAAGAAATTAAATGAAATAATAATAGAATACGACGTTTCGCTTGCAACACAAGCAGCCATCATCAGGTACAAATGAATGGGAAAACAAAAATAGTAAACTTGGAAATATAATGCAATACATTACAGACAGTTGGTCAACAAAGCAGTCAACACCCCACCTGGTTGATTACGTTCTTCCAAATATTGCAACATTTTTCGAATCTAGTTTGAACCTCCTGTACTGTTGCCAGAAAGGGTACAGCATTATATTTCTATTATCATCTTGATACTGGCAACAAAAGACTCCCACACTTACTCCTTTTTAATCTTTTGACCTTGTGCTACTTATTACACAGGATCCATTCGGCTCAATGACATTGCACTCGAGTGCGTAAAAACATACTTTTTTTGATCTCACAATCATGTTCCAAATGTGTTATTAGAATCATTTTATCAGACAAAGACACGACATGCACAGATCATCTTATGTCCAACATCATTAGCTGACGCGCGTCCGTGAGCTGTCTGTATCCATCGCGCATGTCGAAGCAAATGCCCACGTAACCATTTGTAGGAGAAGTAACTTTTCTCGCACGATATCAACTTTGCCATCACACGTGCTCGGCCAAAATAAATTTACTTTCTCGTTTTATTTCCGGTCGGTTGGCATCGTTCCTCGAGCAGACAACTAGCTTCATTGTACGTCTCTCCATTTAACCTTTAAAAAGCAATGCCTTGCCAATCTCTAAAGCTTTGAACTATTGAGTGAAAGCAGGGCTTATTTTAGGAGGTTTTTTTCCCCTCCTGAAGCATAGCAGCTCAATAAAAAAACAACATTTATTTAGTTCGACACAAGTTTTGCCATTGAATCATTGTCAACTGAAACAAAGATTCTTAATTCCACCGCTGTATGAGACGGGAGTGCCCACACTTTATGCCACCACACAGAACCTGCCAGTCGACTGTGGTGGTGTGCCCACTGATATTGCTGGGTGGACAGGTGGAGGAGGCGGGGGGGGCGAGTTAACAGCCCTGCCGGATGATATAATTTAAGCTGTAAGCTCTGGATTGTATGTTGCATTGTGCTCACCATTGTGCTCACCATTGACAGAATCAAATTAATACATACCACATAATTTGCAAAGGTAATCAAAAATGTCTTCAATTGTATTACTATAGCAGGTAATTGGAATATACACACACCATAATTCTATGAAAATGCATGGAGATAATTGACAAAATAAGAGTTTCGATAATTCATCATTCCAAACATCCAAAATTAAATTCACATTTACTTAATACTCTTCATAAAAATAAAAACGCCCTGCTCAAAATGTACTCTCCTCTTAATGTTGCGGCAAATTAATAAGACGCTAAAGATTTAAATGAGTTCGCAACCTTCAACAGCTATAAGCTCATCGCAGGCACACTAGGACAACGGCCGCCATCACTTACAGGACGCGCTCCCACAGCAGGAAGCTGCAGTCGCTGCTTGAGGTTTGTTTTTAAAGTTTGTGTCACGACGGCTGAAGGGCCGCTGTATTCGGGAGCTAAAGCCGGCGGTGTGCCCTGATGCAGAACGGCACTTTCTCGCTTTCCTGTTCGGCCAATTAATTTATCAAAGATTCCTTTTTAGAATCTCTCTCTCTCTCTCTCGGGCTTTCCTGCTCGGATTGGTAGTGGCCTATTTATGTTTTTTTTTTGTTAGCTTCCATGACTTTAGAGTAGCTGCTCTTTGCTGTCCTACTGGGTATCTGTGAAAAAAGCTCCATCGCTCATAGGAATTCCTCCATATTCCTGGTTCTTTCGGTAAAGTCACGTAGAAGGGAAACAATAAAATAAAAGAAATATAAAACAATAAAATTCTCACGACGTTTCGACTGCAACACACGCAATCATCATCATCAGTTGATGATGATTGCGTGTGTTGCAATCATCAGTTGATGATTGCTTGTGTTGCAGTCGAAATGTCGTGAGAATTTTATTGTTTTATATTTCTATTATTTTATTGTTTTCCTTCTACGTGACTTTACCGAAAGAACCAAGAATATGAATCCCTGCAGTCACGAAAGCTTTAAATCAGGATTCCTCCAGTTTAAATAAAGATTATGATAATGTATATGTTTACATTGGAAAAACAACTTAATTTGGATTGTCATAAAAAAGTAAATTCCGAGTTCCACTATTTATTTTGATGAACCAGATGAGAACTCAAGAGACCAGGGTAGTCTCAATTTGCACGAGCGACAAGGGGCATTACTCTGCCAGTATGGTGCGATGACTCCTATGCATAATCCCAATTGAAGAATTTGTGAAGGAAGTCTTCGAATTTGGTAAATTTGTATCGTGACGCTGGCACACAATGGCCTACTCTTGCGAACGACGTCAGGGGATCTTTAATGTCCAATGTGAAACAGACGGTGTGTATAATTGTTACTCCACACGCAGTATTTAAACGAAAACTAAACATGTGGATTTTATTTCACCAGCAAGGCCCTCTGAGCTATATAGCTATTTTGTTCAGAAGCGACCTGGCCACAAATGATAGCTCAACGAAGTATCTTGTCATGTGGACATTTATAGCAGCCAAATACTCTAAATGTACGTTTCGAAATGTGGAGGTAAAAGCCAAAGGATCCGGAGAAAAATCCACACGACCACGGGGAGAACATGTAAACTCAAAAATATATAGGTATCAGGGTCGGGATCGAACCCACGACCATCCTGTATACTGGGTGAGGTAGTTTACATCGCACCACCATGGCGCCTAAGTGTTAACCAGGGCCGCGACTGGATTCGTACGGTCAACCTCTGCAACAAGCGGTGAATGCGCTACCGCTGAGCCAAGCCACGGCTCCTAGGAGGAGCAGCCCCGCAACTGCTCCTTCACTACACTGCTGGCCGAAGTGCCACCACTAGAGGTACCTCCAGTGGGCCCCCTTGTGAGGATATCTGGTCTACTCTTCCACGCTCGACTAGACGTCTTCACAAGCAACCTGCCGATCAACTAACTGGCACATATCCATTTATACTGCTGGGTGGCCAGAGGCGGGATGTTTATAAAAAAAAAAAAATAACATTTCTTTTCAGCTGCCTTGTCACGAGATGGAATCGAACCGAATCCAACCAGTTCCAGTGTATGAACAATTACACCGCAGCAGCATCCACGTGCATAGATCGCACCTCCGATTATCACGGTTGGCTACGTAAGCACAAAAGAAGTTCAGCATACGTACACAGATCCTAATTGTCGTATGAGAAGCCTGTATTCCCGGCCCGTGGCATTTTTTGGTTCTCACAAATTCAAGTCCTAGATAGATCGCGCCATTCGGGCGGCATTGACGGTGCCCGCGATCCAATCACGCCGAGATTGCAGACGATCCGTCATTCCTGTTGCCTCCGCCTGCCTTGGCCAGCGATTGGCCATCGATCTGTGTTCGTGTCTGAAGACGCACGGGGGTGGGAAAGATGCTCCTCTGGTTCACTGACTCAGAGCCCTCCCCGCCCGCCTCCCGGAGCTCTCCAGGTACAACAGTCCCCAGCTCCACTTGTTAATACAGAGGCCAACCTGCAACCGCCGGCGCACCTTGATTAATGTCCCGCGGCTGAAGGCCCTATGGAGCAACG